TCTGGGACCAGCTGTCCCCAGGTCCATCCCCTTTCCCCGCCCCCACGGGGCTCGGAGGGAGAAGCTAGGCACCTTAATCTGCCACAAACCCCGCCCCCACTGGGCTTGAAGGGTGTGGCAGCTGCATAGCAGCAGACGATGTCAGGAGGTGCAAAGACAGCAAGCACTACGGGATCCTTTTGGAGCCACACCCCAGCTTTGGGCATTAAGCCCGAGCGGTGGGGAAGCTCAAGAATGCCTCTTGCTGTGTGTATTGCTGCTGCTACTACGTCACTTGTCCGTTGCACTCGTGCCTTTGGGAGATCTATATCTTTATTCATTGAGTTTCACTCGATCAGATACACCGCCTTCCTCTGAATTTGCCCTGTACTGGTGAAAATTGAGGCCTGTAGTCTCCATCCCCTTGTCAGTATTATGAGCCCTCAGCTAATTGTGTACAAAATAATGAGTGGAAAAATGCTCTGAACATGTTTGTGGTTGCAGGGGGTCAAGTCTGTGTGTGTATGTGCGGTCGCGCGCACTTTGTGTGTGTGTGTGCGTATTCATGTATACATGTGTGTATGTGTATAACTAATAATAAAAATTATAATTATTAGTATTAGTACTAATAGTAGTAGTAGTAATAATAATAATAGAAATAGTAGTAATAGTAGTACAAGACGTTTAATAAATATAATTTTTGGGAACAAAATAGAAGCGTTCCAAGAAGATTCTTAAACTTTATTGAATACATACATTTCTTTACATTATTTACACAAATAAAAAAGTCCCATACATCACACAATGCTTTTTACATAAATCATCCACGAGAGACCTGGAGCTGGGTGACAACAGGACCTGGTAGCCTATTTGTAACCGTGTTTTGAAGAGTGATGCAAACATAGCTAAGGTCATACATACCTATAGCGTATCCACCTTTTTATAGATACATGAGTGATCAGGCTTATTGATATTCTATACATCTGTTTGGGGTTAGATGATGATAAGACATAACTGATATTCTGTCCACCTGTTTGGGTGGATATATATAGAGGATTAAAGATTCTGTTAGTCTGTGTACTTGTGTGGGGATAGATGGGTGCTCACGCATTCTGATAGTCTATCCACGTACTTGGTGATAGATGGATGTTCGCAAGATTAGATATCGTACATTCAGTTGTGTTTGTGAAATAATGCTGTACCGACTGAATCCTCCTCTATCGATCTTGGACTCTTGACAAACATATATAATCATTCTCAGTGTTTTCAATCATTGAAGAAAGGGTTGACGATGTTATCTCGTCCTGATAACACTATGCTAGCGTCGTCATATTGGTAGTTTCAAAGATGTTAGCAGTAATAACGAAGAGAAATTATAATGAAGCATACATACTAATAAAGGTTAATAAACAGATGAATAAGAAAGGCAACGAGAGAGAGAGAGAGTGAGAGTGAACACCATGCCTATAAGGCAGCTCACACAAACCAGCTGATCCTCTCACAAGTTATAATTTAATTTCCATGGAATTCGGCCACCTGATCCCTCAGACGTATCTACATTTCTTCCCTCTCTACCACACACACTGGACACAGGGGCGTTAATCCCCATAGACTTTCTCTATGAACGTTTGTGTTAAATCTCTGAACGACTGTGTCACCTCTGAACGTCTGTGTCACCTCTCTGAACGTGTGTCACCTCTCTGAACGACTGTGTCACATCTTTGAACAACTGTGCCACTGAACGACTGTCACTTCTTTGAACAACTGTGTCACCTCTCTGAACGACTGTGTCACCTCTCTGAACGTCTGCACCATCACTCTGAACGACTATGTCAGACGCTTCCTGGAAGCCCAAGAATTGTTTCCGTTCCTCCGGTACTTTTTATTTATTTGGCGGGAAGAATAACCAAGACTTAATGGTCAGACCCAAGTGTGATAAATTATTTATTTTTTCCCTCACGTTTGCCCAGATAAGCTCCACGCTTATTATCAAATATTCCTCCATTAAAATCATCGTCATCAATTTAATCATTGGTTATTCTTAATTTTAATTTTAATAATGTAAATTCGTCTTCGATATTAATTTCGATCATTATTTTTATTTGTCCTCTTGGTCTGTTTTTGCCCTCTTGCTCCTTGTCCTATTTATTCTCTTCTTGTCCATTTATTTTTCTCTGTAATTAGCACTCACACATATTATGTTCATTACTCTATCTTGTCATCACTATAGGACGCCTTTATAATAGTTATAGCCAGAGTTACGACCTTAATTGTAATTACCAGTATTATCACAATTATAATACAAGTGTTCACTATAATCGCATACTTATCACAAAAAAGAATTATCGTAATTTTCGTAATTTTAATAATAATTATCATAATTATAGCCATAATCATTATTACTAAAGTAACCATAATCAATGACATTATTCCCAGTACTGTCATAATTATTGCAATTATGATTATAATACTTATCACCATCGTAATTATAAAAAATTTACTCATTCAAATTATCGTTATCATCAACTAAATAATAATAATGTTATTAAAACAATATAAATATAACTAAATTTTTCTAGTTGATTTTAATCCCAGGATGAACCTGATACTCTGGAACATTTAAGAAAGTTTGGGCCGTAAGCGTCAGTGTAATAAGGGTGATGAGGACATGCTAGTCGTGACTAGTAAACATTTACTGTTACTGTTAGTGTTCCCTTTTTCTCGTATCATATATATATATATATATATATATATATATATATATATATATATATATATATATATAATATATATATATATATGTCGTGCCGAATAGGCAGAACTTGCGATCTTGGCTTAAATAGCAACGCTCATCTTGCCATATAGGACAAGTGAAAATTTGTGTATGCAATAATTTTGCCAAAATCATTCTGAACCTAACGAAAAAAATATATTTCAATGTGTTTGTTTAGTATTAAATTATTGTAAACAAATCTAAAATATATTTAGTTGGGTTAGGCTAAAATAAATTGTTCTTGTTATAACAAGGTTAGGTAAGTTTTCTAAGATTCTTTTGGTGCAAAATTAAAAATTTTTACATTAACATTAATGAAAAAAATATATCTTTAAACGTATAAGAGAAAATTTTAGAAAGGACTTAATTTTAAATGAGTTCTTGCTAATTGACCAGTTTTACACATTCGGCACGACATATATATATATATATATATATATATATATATTATATATATATATATATATATATATAATATATATATTATATATACATATATGTATGTGTGTGTGTGTGTCGTGGCCGAATAGGCAGAACTTGCGATTTTGGCTTAAATATCAACGCTCATCTTGCCATATAAGACGAGTGAAAATTTGTGTATGCAATAATTTCGCCAAAATCATTCTGAACCTAACGAAAAAAATATATTTCACTGTGTTTGTTTAGTATTAAATTATTGTAAACAAATCTAAAATATATATTGTTGGGTTAAGCTAAAATAAATTGTTCTTGTTATAATAAAGTTAGGTAAGTTTTCTAAGATTCTTTTGGTGCAAAATTAAAATTTTTACATTAACATTAATTAAAAAATATATCTTTAAACGTATAAGAGAAAATTTTAGAAAGGACTTTATTTTAAATGAGTTCTTGCTAATTGACCAGTTTTACATATTCGGTACGACATATATATATATATATATATATATATATTATATATATATTTTATATATATATATATATTATATATATATATATATATATATATATATATATATATATATATATGTCGTGCCAGATAGGTAAAACTTGCGATTTTGGATTAAACAGCAACGCTCTTTTTGCCGAATAAGGCAAGCTAAAATTTGTGTATGCAATAATTTCGCAAAAATCATTCTGAACCTAACGAAAAAAGTATATTTCATTGTGTTTGTTTATTATTAAATATCTAAAATATATTTAGTTGGATTAGGCTAAATTAAATTGCGCTTGTTATGATGAGGTTAGGTAAGCTTTCTAAGGCTCTTTTGGTACAAAATTATTAATTTTTACATTAACATAAATAAAAAAAAATGTATATCTTTAAACGTACAAGAGAAAATTTTAAATGAGATTTCGCTAACTGACCAGTTTTAACTCTTCGGCACGACATATATATATATATATATATATATATATATATATATATATATATATATATATATATATATATATATATATATATATATATGTATATATATATTTTATATATATATATATATATATATATATATATATATAAATATATATATATATATATATATATATTATATATATATATGTATGTATGCATTATTTAGGAATCACTTTAGGAATTGAAAGAGAATCGGCAAAACTTTCGTACTGATACAAGTTCTTCATCGGGCGTGAAAGCACTTTCAGAGTCCACCTTGTTTAAGTGAGCTGTGTGGACCTGTGGTAGATAAAATCTTAGTTGATAAAGGATAAAAACCTGAAAAGTGTTGCTAAATCGTTTTCATTTCTTCAAGTGCTTCTTAAATAGACCATCACTTATATAAAACCCTGATTTCCCTGTCTGTCTGTCTGTCTGTCTGTATATATATATATATATATATATATATATATATATATATATATATATATATATATATATATATATATATATATAATTATAATTATATATATATATATATATATATATATATATATATATATATATATATATATATATATATATATATATATATATATATATGAATGAATGTATTATACGTATACAAGATATATGAAGAAAATAATAGATAGTCACATGAGAAAAGAACATACACAAACACTTAACACCTTTGTATAATTATGTATATATATATATATATATATATATATATATATATATATATATATATATATATACATATATATATATATACATATATATATACATATATATATAATATATATATATATATATATTATATATATATATATATATATATATATATATATATATATATATATATATATATATATTGGCGTCATCATCTCATTCAACATATTCAGTCACCATATAACCCAGGCAAGCTACACTAATAAACTAGCCTCTTGTATAATATGTATATACAGTAACATTCACGTGTAACTATTCAATAACAACACCTCTGTTAATGGTAAGGAACTGGGTAATGGGGGGTCTGGCTGTAGTGTACAAATTACAAAAATTTTATGTACATATCCATGTAATAACCACTGAACTAGCAGTTATGGAAACAGAACTTCGTCATTTACCATTAACATCATAGGTTGTTTTCTTCATTAAGGTTTCAACGAGGAAGAAAGGAAGAATTTTATCACAAGCAGTACGAGGTTTAGAAACTTTTCAGTTTCTTCTCTGGAAAACTTGGGTCACTTAGGGTCCCGTGTGATATTCCATATGTATTAACTTCATATAAAACAGAATTTTCAAAACTTTATTTTTCTTCACCAAATTCATCATTATTCATTTTACAAAATCTGTATTTGTTTTTCGAGAAGATGCACTTTTTTTTTCACCTTTCAGTACTTTTTCAGTACTACTATTTTTTTTTACACAATCTGTCCATAGATTGAAGAATATATTTCATCGAAACACAGTGTTTGTTTTGTCTACCATACTTCTAGCTAACTATTACCTAATATTCAATTTCTCTACATAACAATATATTTCATTTACATTCAACATACTGTGATATATGACAATTTACACATACATATGTTACATATATATGTTAATCGTGCTCCTTCGATTGACTGGGCGAACGTGAATAAAGGTAATTGCTGACATAGGACGTCCCGTTCAGGTGCCTCTTTTCCTAGGTAGCTACGTGATAGCGAATGAAGCCGTTTGTTTACTTTCTTTATATATTCGGTTAGATAGTTTGTTAGGTTTAAAGAGTAGAGACTACAGGTGGATCATTTAAGGCTGCAATTCACTTGCACCTAACATTCAAGAATTCCTCCATTCCTAAAATAGGGATTAAAATACACACTTAGTGTATATATAAAGAGAAATTCACCTCCTTCGGTGTATGTAACCTGTGTCTACTCGGTCAGTCATGCACACAATTTATATTGTTTACAAGTACCTCGTCACTTAATGATCGATTTGCTAAACGCATTGGCACCTTGTCGTTTCTGATTGGCTGGAGCGTCATCGGTGAGGTTAATTCTTCAAGACAGAGCCGCAATAAAGCTAGAGGTTTCACTGTAACCGGAAGATGTTGTAACCTCTTGTGGTGGCTAACAGAGGACGTGTTTCAGAAGTGGTCGCCAAGGAGGTATAATGCTGTCACTAAAACAGGAAGGTCCATCCTCCAAGGAAGTCTACGCCAGCCTGCTGAAAACGGAGGAAAAAAATTTTTAACAGCATCTCAGATATCTAAAATGCATGCTCTTTCTCTCTCTTTCGTATACAAAGTTTTGCAAAATTAGGTTAAAGTTCCAAATGATATTCACAAGCTGAGGAAATGTTTTGAGGGACTGTTAAATGTTGATGACAGGGAAGCTGTGATTTCATACATTGGGCAGAGAGGTATAACATCTTTCAGGAGTGTGGAAGAACCAGTTGTGAGTGAGGGGGAGATGGATGAGGCAGTGAGTAGAATTAAAGGTAAGAGCTGTTACCTACAGCAGCCTCTCTCTCTCTCTCTCTCTCTCTCTCATTGCAAAAAATATTTAAAAATTATTCTTGAGAGCGAGGAAAATTCCGTATTCGCAAGTGTTTGACATCACAGCATACATTAAGGTAAAGGTGACGTAGGTACTCACCTGAGTTCTGGCCGACGGCTGGTAGGTTAAGACTTGGCTTCTGGTCAATGACGTTCTCCTCCTCATCTGCAACGAACATCACTTAGGTTCATCGTCCTTCTGGACTAAATTCAGTTCCATTAACAGCAAAATTATAATTAAATCCTCGAATAAGCTCAGGTGACATGTCTTTAGGTTCCGAATTATCGTTTAGCAACGAGCAGCCACCCTCAAGGGTGGCTCTTGATCTAGGGAATTGGATCTGTTCTCCAGTTCCCTGAATTGAGCCTGAATGCCTTACATCCCTCAGGCGCTGTATAATCGCATCGGGTTTAGCCCTCCCCACAATAATAATAATAATAATAATAATTAATAATAATAATAATAATAATAATAATAATTATTGATGAGTTATTATCAAGATTATTATTCATTTTGTATAAATTGTACCAAGATTATCGTAAAGATAACCTTCCAGTTTTTATAAAGACAATAGGAAGATTAAAGCAATGTTTTTTTTTTCATTAATGCATAATCATAGTTACTATTAAAACAATTACAGCTTGACAAAGCTCCTGGAGAGTGAAACGTTGCCACAATAAAATGTCACATTAGTTGCACTTGTGTCCTTTTACCTAACATATTGTCGGTAATTCTACCAACATTATTACAATTGCAAATAATATTTTTGTCTTAGCAGCAACGTAATCGTGTAATGTTTATTAAGTTTAATACCAGGATAATCATTGTATATTAGTTTGTATGTAAGATGAGGCCCACCCCTAGTGCAAATTGTGGGACCCATAGCCTCGGAGAAATGGATAAAAAGGCTTCGAGGAAAAATATTTGGATTTCTCCTTGAAGCCATTTAAATATTCCAGTTCCTCTACCACCCCATCTTTTCTTTTTACCAATAAGTATATTTTATTACCTAATATGGTATACAACAGACTTGAATATACATGTAAATTTTGAGTCAGTGCCACGGTATTCATTATTTATTTTTATGCTTGCTATTTCTAATTAGTATTAAGATAGCATGTAGCTATTTCTGAATCTTTTTTGAAAACAATAGTTTTTTTTTTACTCTTTTTGTAATTTTTCTTACTAGTGAATAATTCTGCTATTTCTGATGCCAGTTCTTTATGAGTTTTAGTGAGTTATCGAGAAAAATCATGCAGATATTTTTAACTTGTATAGAGATAATTATATTAATTATTAATATAAAGAAAATATTAATATTAATCATAGCTAGATAGGCGTTCATTTAATTCTCTAATTAATTTAAAGATAATCGAGAAATTAATTTTTAATTGTTTTTATGATGATAGAGGAAGCTGTGTGCTTCTCCTAAGATAATCATGGTTACTGTTTTCAGTATAATTCCTTGATTTCTCTGAAGATCATAATTATAATTATTGACATATATTTCTAGAATAGTTTGCATTATAAAATTTAGAGATATGAACCTTCACTTAATAATTTTAAATTAACCTACAAAACAATTTTTTTGCATGTTCTCATATTCTTAACGTGGACAGATTGCGAAAATATTTATTTTTATACTTTTTTCTGTAGCATATTTCCTATTTTCCTTAAAATATTGTGACGTTACGTTAAATATTCGTCAGGAAGTTCTCACACGGTTTTTGTCCAAAAGTGACCGGAGACGTTACGTTAAATATTCGTCAGGAAGTTCTCACACGGTTTTTGTCCAAAAGTGACCGGAGACGTTACGTTAAATATTCGTCAGGAAGTTCTCACACGGTTTTTGTCCAAAAGTGACCGGAGACGTTACGTTAAATATTCGTCAGGAAGTTCTCACACGGTTTTTGTCCAAAAGTGACCGGAGACGTTACGTTAAATATTCGTCAGGAAGTTCTCACACGGTTTTTGTCCAAAAGTGACCGGAGACGTTACGTTAAATATTCGTCAGGAAGTTCTCACACGGTTTTTGTCCAAATAGTAACCCTTCACTAGCTCAGTAAAATTTTTTTTTTTTGCCATAATAATGTTCAAGATATGTAGTAGTAGTAGTAGTGTAGTCCTTGATGTCACAGAATACACTTGCAGCTACTCTGAGTTTAGAGCTGGTCTGCACTTGCCTTAAAATATCTAGATTCAGTAAACACTTTTAAAGTTGCTCCCTAATCAAATAAAAATGATAGTGCGTATCACTTCAGGCTGATCATGCTATATCTAGACTTAATGTTTTCGTTCGGTAACAAGATTTAACCATCTTAGAACACTTTATGTTCTACCCATTATTAAATGGGTAGTCCAGTGGATGTTTAAACAGTTCATCGAGTTGTCATGCGATGAAAACCTGTGTGAGGTGACAGTGTCCTGTTTCCTTGCAAATCTAATGATGTATTTACATAATCTATTGCATTACGTCCACAATGATCTCATTGGGAACAGTGAGTGATCTAGGGGTATATTTCTACATGTCTCAGTTATTGTTGCTATGTGATGCAGAATTTTCATTTCGCTTTGCAATTATTGCAGAGTAGGGAGAATTATGCTTTTGCAGTTTACGTAGTATATTGGGGGAGTTACCGGAACGAATGCAGGGAGAAACTAAAGGGGTAGGGAATATTGGAACTGTAAATCACATTAAATAATCTGTAGTAACATATATTTACTATTTTAACTATAATTGTGGAATATTATAAACGTACTCGCGTTGATAATGCAAGTATAATGCTTAAATAATTGAGAAGGAAATTACGTACATAACTTCCAAAAGGAACACTATGTATAAATATAAATAATTATACAATAAACACAATAAATAGTTCCTGAATATAAAAATTATGCAAACATGGTTACTGTGTCATAAATATAGTGGAATATATGATATAAGTTTCATATTAAGAGCACATTCCTTTCACTCTATGCTAAACTGACCAAAAACACAAGATGTGACTGAGCCAGCAAACAGTGTTGCACTGGGTCCCAAGATAATAGCATAAAGGGAAAAACATAAGGATGACAAGGGAGAGGAATTAAAGGACGAAGGGGAATTACAAAGGTGCTAAATGCTGTAGAAAAGAATGAATGAAGAGGAAATTAAGAGTTGAAATACTACAGAAAAATATAATAGGGAATAATTAATAGAGATCTACGAAAAATACAGAATGATACAAGGAAAATGAAGTTTATTAAGGAATAAAATAGAAACGGGTAATATTAGTTGTCTGTTGAGGGAAGGGTTAGTAAAAATAAAAGAACTCCTATACACTCAAAACGAAGCTAAACATAACAAATCGGCATTAACAAAGCTATAACAAATAACTAGGAGCTCATCCAAGGATATTTATAAGAAAAAGGTAACTTAACCAAGGAAAATAAAACAACAACTAAGAACGAATAAGAAGTTTACCAGTGAAAACTAATAGAAACAGAGTCCAGCTAATTAAAATTAAGCTAGAAATGAGCTCAGCTAATTAGACTTTAGCTAGAACAGAACCCATTTAGATTTATTTGAGAACAAATCACAACCAAGTAGAATTATGCTAGAACAGATCCAGGCCAATCAGAATCAAGCTTAGAGCAGGACCTACCTCCATTTTGGCCACTTACAGCTTGGGGATTGGGCCTCTTGCGAGTTCGATTCTCAGACCTGTCCCAAATCTGATCTGTTCACGAAAAGAACGAATGAACAGCGCCTTGCCTTAGTGAACAAGGTTATTAAAAGATCAGAGCCAATGAATAAAATGTGACCCCTTATTCACTGATGAGCCAAATGGTGGTGTTAATAATTAGAGTGAATCACTGTACCAGCGGACAGAGATGGTTACGTAGAATAAAACTGCGATTCATTGATTTATCCAAAAAGTATATCAGTTTAATAAATAACTGAAGAACTGTGACTTATTAATTCGCTTTTAAGTTTTCAGAACTGCTTTAGATTCTAGTGCATAAATGTAAAGAAAACACTACTTGATGAAGCAACTGGGATTTATAGTGTATAACATGAAAGTCACTCAACGAGAAGTTTCTCTTAACTGAATAGAATAATAAAATGTTCAGAACACTACGTTTCCTTCTAATTATTTGCATAGCATCTGACTGGTCATTACACATTGTGCATGCGTGTGTGTGTGTGTGTGTGTGTGTGTGAGAGAGAGAGAGAGAGAGAGAGAGACAGACAGACAGACAGAGGGAGAGATTACTTATCTGTGATCATCTGTTTTTTTTTTTTTTTTTAGCCACAGGCCAATGTTTTCTTGTGTTTTTTTTTCTGTCAGTTTTGTTTAAGGGTTCCGGTGGATGTGGCACTTATTACGATACTTCTTCGCACACTACGATATTTTCTTCACATTTACTACGGCACTTTTATCTTGGTTTCATTCAGTAATATAAAACATACTTTGTGAAGAATCTGTTTGGCATCGATTTTTTTCAGCTTAAAATTGTGGCAACTTCTGTATTGTTGCTGATGAAGAGAAATCTTTGCCTATTTTCTCAGGTTTAATAATCTTATGTGTGGTTACTTTAGTCTCATTTTTTCCTGTCAAACCAGGAAAGAAGTTGAGGAGTTTTCACTCTTACTTGACAACTGATATTTTGTATATATAAATATATATTTTTTTATCCAGCGTCATTTTGTTGCATGCCTTTGAAGTTTTTATTATATATACATTTTTCTGGTGCGGGTACCACGCTGCAGCTGCATGTTTCAATTTTGGTCTTACATATGTTGTGAACAGCTTTTTTCTAGTGTTTGATTATCTTTGTAGTTAGTGAGCGATCTTGAAGTTTACCAGTGTAATTGATGACTTTATCGCTACTACATTAATGCGATGTTTTTATGACTGATTTTTCTATATGTGTGAATAATTATCTTTTTGTAATTACTTATTTTTGATGACAAAAATATACCTACGTTTTGTAATTGTTGAATACAGCCTCTTTTTCCTAGAGTTCATTTTCCTCTCCAGTCACTTATTAAAAGATTTTTTTCTGTTATCTTTTTAGCACTGCTCCTTTTGCTACTTACGATTGTGCTATCTTGTCTTCCATGTTGCTTACTCGAAGAATTTTTCCAAATCTGAGTTCAAAGGCTGTCATTACCTTGCTCCTTAACGGATTTTGTTTTATTTAGTGGCTCTTCTCATCTTCTTTTCAGGTAAACAATATATCGTCACATTCAGTAGCCTGCCCCTTATTACTATGTCGAAGCTAATATTTTTCATTGAAAGATTTTACAAAATCTAATTAACTCAGCCTCTTAATCTCGTTCTTGTGCATTTTATGACTGTAATGACATACCAGGTTATACATGTACAATCTTGTTGACATAAAATTAAGTTATTTAACATTAGGTGTATTGTTTACGTTTGTTGAATTCATTTTGTTCTAATGTTTTGCGTACAATACAGGGTCTCGAATCTGACCTGTGATTAAGATCTTCTCTAGCATTTTTTTTATTGTACAATAATTGTAACTGTCTTCAAGAGGGCGCTGGACAGGCACCTATAGTCAGTGCCTGCCCAGCCAGGCTGTGGTTCGTAAGTCAGTTTATGTGCGGCCAGCAGTAACAGCCTTGGTGATCAGGTCCTGATACACCGTGAGGCTTGGTCACAGACCGGGCCGCGGGGGCGTTGACCCCCGAAACCCTCTCCAGCTATACTCCAGGTATTTATCATTTATTTATCAATTTTCCCTTTTACAGTACAGTCACGAAGAATTCCAGAGCCGGTAACTAAATTTCTCCGTACATAAGTTCATACTGAAGGTGTTATACCATTTGGTCCCTCTGCTTTATCTTCGTACACTACTGTTTTGTTGACATACTCTCTTGTTACTTCAGTAACATTCAGTTTGAGTTTAGGTCAGTGAGGAGGCTAAAATTATCCTGGAAACCACTTCGTATAAATTTATTTAGAAAGTTCATACTCAGCATTTCACTCATTTTCTCTCCTGAGGTATCTATATTTTACAGAATGCAGAAGAGGAAACGAGCTGCTATAACTTAATAAAATTTCCTTCGAGCGAAACGTTGTTATAATAAAGTCTGGGTAGTCTTTGTCATCCTCGTACCGTAGTGGACTCATTTCTGCCTTTCCTTAACAGTTCATGTGTTTGTTATTTATTGGTTGACTGTAGCAGAGAAACGAGGAATACGTGGTGAAGAGTGAACATATCTGTTGAGTTAGTGTCTGGTGTATAACATATTGTATAAGTAGTATATATATATATATATATATATATATATATATATATATATATATATATATATATATATATATATATATATATATATATATATATATATATATATATATATATATAGTATGTATAATCTCTAACTGTGAGAAAGTTTACTTCTGGAGTTTAAAGATTTATTATATTAATTCTTGATCAATAACTTGTAGTAGTAGGAAAATCTATAATTTTAGTATTGAAATCTTTCTTGTTTTGCATCTAAACTTTCATATATGACCATAATTATTGTAAAATAGTTATTTATGATAATAATTATAAATGCAAGAATTAACAGCAATAGATGTTAATTACTAAAATCTTGTGAACTACTAAGGCATTGATATAATAACTAGTTATTGTCTTTTTAATATAATTCTCTGACAAAAGCATTTATCTTTAAAAAAAAGGTTAATGGAGGTAAATCTAATTACATCATCATTGCCAAGCACAGGAAAATATAGGAAAAAAAAAAAACGTAATTTGGACTATTCTGAAATTATTTAATGGCATGTACTTTTGGGTTGAAAAAGTAGAAAACTCAAGAGGGCAACAAGTGAAGAATGATAACTGCAATAAGAATAGCGAGAACATTTTTAGAGAAAATGAAGTTGAAAGAAAAACAGGCCGGATATAGCAGCTGGTGCATAAAATGAATAAACTATTAAGCGGAATAAAAATAAATTATATCCACTAGCACAGATAAATATGTAAACCAAATTAATAATGGGGAAACATTATATATATATATATATATATATATATATATATATATATATATATATATATATATATATATATATATATATATATATATATATATAATATATATATGCCGAATAGATAAAACTGGTCAGTTAGTAAGACCTTATTTAAAATTAAGTCCTTTTAAAAAAATTTCTCTTATTCGTTTAAAGATATATTTTTTTCATTTATGGTAATGTAAAGATTAATAATTTTGCACCAAAAGAACCTTAGAAAACTTACCTAACGCTATTAAAACAAGCGCAATTTAATTTAGCCTAATCCGCCTAAATATATCTTATATAAGTTTTCAATAATTTAATAATAAGCAAACACAATGAAATATACTTTTTTCGTTAGGTTCAAAATTATTTTTGCGAAATTATTGCGTACACAATTTTTCGTTTGTCTTATTCGGCAAGAAGAGCATTACTGTTTAAGCCAAAACCGCAAGTTTTACCTATTCGGCATGATATATATTAATATATATATATATATATATATATATATATATATATATATATATATATATATATATATATATATATATATAAATATAGGGAGGTACCACCTCTAGAACTGTAATGGGGACCCTCATCCTCAGAGAAAAGAATAAACTTGCTTCAGGGAAAACTCAAGATTCTCCCTGACGCTGTTTGAGAATTTTCTCCTACCACCCCCTATATTATGTATATATATTTTATTTAAAGACAAAATACATATATGCAATAAGATCACAGTAAACAGGTGATTTCAGAATATGCAAAACAACCATATTGTTTTGCATATATATATATATATATATATATATTATATATATATATATATATATATATATATATATATATATATATATATATATATATATATATATATATATATATATATATATCAGCTTAATTTCATGTCTCTTTTAGGAATTAGAGTATCTTTTACTGGTAGTAAACAGGTAACGCCCAGCTTTAATAACCCCTTGTGTAGTCGATAGTTTTGAAACCAAATTAACCCACTAACCTAGAGCTTTGTGGTCTCATTGTATATACACCAAGATATGTAACTCTTTGTGTATATACAATGAGAGAAAACTTTAATTTTTATTTGAAGAATTATAGTATTCTTGACTGATGGTTTACAGGTGAGATGCAGATTTATGACCACTGCATAGTCTATAGGGTTTAAACCTAGTAGGTCAATTAATTCAACGTGAAAAATGTAAACATTACTGCTAACAACTTATCCAAATTGATATGAAAACGATAAAAAACAGCGTATATTCTATACTCGTTAACTGAGGATCCTTGAAAAAGAAATATGCAGACACCATAGGAATAAAGAGATAGTGATAATAATGAGGATAATGATCATTACTAATAAATAATAATAATAATAATAATAACGATAATAATAAATATAATAACTAACACTCCAAACTATTGGTAAGCTGTGAGCTCCGTGTGGCAGTGGAAGAGGCGTGAATCACTATTATTAGTGCCTACTTGTGTCATGTACTGGCAAACTCTGATATATATCTATAAATCCGAGAAAAATAACCGAGAAATGGGTCTGTGAAAATGAAGAACATGATTTGTTGGAGGTATGGCGTAGAGAGCGAGTTTAGGGGATGGAGTTAATAAAGACGTCCTCAGAATACAAGCCCTTCATGTGCTGCTGATTTGTTTTCCTGCGACAAATTCTGAACGAACTAAGCTGCCCACGAAATTGATCTTAGGGTAGATTACGTTAGTTTAGTTTAAATTAACGTAAATTTGCATGGGAGGTTAACATCACCAGTTGGTACATACCGGCCGCTTGTAATTGGTTGAAAATAATACTCTGGTTATATTGTGAGGACGGAGTGCATAGAGAAGGAGAGAGAGAGAGAGAGAGAGAGAGAGAGAGAGAGAGAGAGAGAGAGAGAGAGAGAGATTGCACAAAAACCAAAGTCACTGTAAAACCATAGGTGTTTGAAAAAAAAAGAAACATCTCTGAAATTAAACATCTCCATGGAAAACCAAACCATATTATATAAACAATCGTCCTCACTACAAAAACATTGTCAGCGAAAACAAACAAGTTCAGTAAAGAAGCTGGATCACAAACAATCAGTGTGACATAAGAAACAAACACGCTCACTGTGAAAGGAGAGAAATTCACTTAAACAATTTAGAACACAAGATATCATACGAACTTTTTGTAAAGAAAACAAACATGGAAAACAAGTGCAGAGATTATTTGCGAAAAATATATCTGATGAAAAATAAAATAAACAGTAACAGTTGAAATCTCGTAAAGTGCATTTGTCACTTACGAAACCTGTTTACTTACAAAGAATGATCACTTACAAAGCAAGTTCCTGGAGATGAGGAAAAAATACTTACAAAATTAAGTAATTAATAAAAAAATGTTAAGCTTATTACGAAACAAAGTCACCGACATGAAAAATATAAATAAATTACGAAAAAAATGTCACGGGTATTTAAAAAAAGAAAAAGAAACACTGCAGTTAAAAATACAAAATACAAAGTCAATGATATAAAATTAAAAATAAAAAATGTGAGTGGTATTAGGAAATAAAAGGCCAGGAAGGTCCCATGAAATTCCCTTTAAAAACAAAGGAAACGGAACTTACTGTTAATTTTCTCAAACATCTCAGCTTCGGTGGTGAGAGGCAGGACCGTGGTCGGGGGAGGACCGGAGTCTGTAGAGTACGAGATGAAGCGTGTCATGAGTGCCAGGGAATAGTGACAACTGGCACTGCATTAAATTTATGAGCAAATAAGAACGGGAATATGAACGGGAAAAAGTAATAATAATAATCTGCGGTGTGTGAGAGATAATTAGAATAATTGGTGGTGAGTGTGATGAAGTAATAATAATCGGTAGTGTGATGAAATAAAAATAAGTGGTGGTGAGTGTGATAAACTGAGAATAATTGGTGTGAGGAAATGAGGTTAATTGTTGTTAAGTGTGAGGAAATGGTGAAGGTTGTGCAGAAACGAGAATAATTGAGGGTGTATTAGGAGAGTTGGAATAATTGTCGGTGAGAATAGGAATAAATAGGAATAAATGGTTATGATAGTGAAAAGACAACTGAATAATAAGCTGTAATAGTGAAAATGGGAATAACTGATGGAGTGTGACCGAATGAGATTAATTGGCAGCGACAGTGAGAGGAAAGTGGATTAATTGGTGGAGGGTTTGAGTGAATGACAGCAGTGGGTAAGACAGTGTGGCATTGGTAATTGTTAATGATGGCCCACAATCAGCACTGAAGCGTTGCTTCATTCCGCTGAATTACGTCTGATTATTCCTCTATCCGTTATACTCAGTGCGTGTTCAACTAATCAACATCAGTGACAATTAAATATACCTATCGTCCTAATGGCAACCACAATCCTAATACCAACAATTATCCCAGTATACCAACCAGTACTGCTATCCCAAAATAACAACCAGTATACCACTGTTCTAGTGCCACTATCTCATTATACCAAAGAACTATCCCAGTATATCAACCACTATACCAGTATAAGTACTATCCCAATACCAATTACTTTCGTTCAGTCCGTCTTAACACACGTCCAACTCGTCTTAACAAACGTCCAATCCGCCTTAACACACGTCCAATCCGTCTTTACATACGTCCAGTCCGTCATTATGCATGTCCAGTCTGTCTTAATACACATCCAGTCCGTCGTAACACACGTCCAGTCCGTCTTAGCACACGTCCAGTCCGTCTTAATAAACGCCCAGCTCGTCTTAACAAACGTTCATTAACACACGTCCAGTCCGTCTTAACACACGTCCAATCAGTCTTTACAAGACAGTGTTGACATGTGAAGTGTTAAGAGGACGTCATCCTGCAAGGGTAAGGGGAGGGGGAGGTGGTTAAGGCTCACCGTAGATCTTGATGGTACCGTCAGTCTCCCCCCGGGGGTTCTTTGCTACGCAGCGGTACGTGCCAAAGTCAAGTTCGGTTAGGGAGCGTACCGTCAGCAACATGTGGATCTTGTAGTCCGGATTACCGATGCGATTTTCAATATGGTACTTTCCTGTTGAGAGAGAGAGAGAGAGAGAGAGAGAGAGAGAGAGAGAGAGAGAGAGAGAGAGAGAGAGAGAGAGAGAGAGAGAGAGAGAGAGAGAGAGAGAGAGAGAGAGAGAGAGAAAGAAGAGAGAGAGAGAGAGAGAGAGAGAGAGAGAGAGAGAGAGAGAGAGAGAGAGAGAGAGAGAGAGAGAGAGAGAGACGGAGCATCAGAATCTTGATATAAGTACATAAGAAAGGAGGAACATTGCAGCAGGCCTGTTGGCCCATACTAGGCAGGTTTTTTAACTGTAATTTCTATTGAATGGGTGAAAAATATTTAATGTAAAGCTCACTCCGATTTAGCACTTTCTTGTGAATATAATAATATTTCGGAGTAAGATTGTTACCTTTATGGCTAAGTTTTAAACACGCTTGAGGTTTAACCCAGTGACGGTGGCGGGTAGTTTAATCCCTTAGATCTAGAGTTTTCAGCGGCATCGCGGCACCCTCATTGAAGCGAGATGAAATCTGTGGTATGTGTGTTGCTGGTATCTAAGTGTTTCGTGTGTGTTTGTGTGTGTGTGTGTGTATGTATGTATGTTTTGATTGACGTACCTGAGTCGTAGATCATGTTACCATCTCCACGGGTCCAGTAGTTAAGGGAAGTCGGGTGTGCCTCCGTAAAACACTCCAGCACCACTGTCTTTCCTCTAGCTGACCCAATCAGCTGGTGAGGGATCCACAGCATGGGTGGAACTAGTGTGGAAAGGGAGGGAGAGTGTGTGAGTGTGTATGCGAGAGAGAGAGAGGAGAGAGAGAGAGAGAGAGAGAGAGAGCACATGAATCAACGTAGGTGTATCAGTTATGATAAGAATATAAAAAAAAATTACAAAGAGAAAGAATGAGATGAATATTGAATGGAGATATTACAAAAAGATTAATATTACCAGTTATAAGTGTGGTATATGTGCAGAAATATTTTGTTTTATACAAGGACGTTATTTTAAAATATACATGTTTTAGCTATGTGTTTTGAATAATTGATGTAGTATAATTGTCTGTATGAGTAAGAAGAAATACTTTTATTTTTTAATGTTTATCAAACATCTGTGTAATATTTGTCCATGAGTAAACTGTTACTTAAACTTAAATATGTAACAAATTCAGACACAAAATATACTTTCTGTTTTTCCACTCACACTTAGACAATAGGACAGGCTCCTTCACTTAAACAATAGTACGCACACTTTTACTTAAACAATAGGATGCACACTTTTACTTAAACAAGACGTACTTTTAAACAGTAAGTGACAATTTCATTTAAAGAATAGGACATGCACTTATACTTATATAAGGCGTACACTTGCACTTAATAGGACACGCAGTTATCACGCGACAATAGAAAACTCACTTAAAGAGTAAGGGGAAAGAAATACTTACAATCGACGCTGACAAGGATGCGCTTGCTGACAGTGGGTGGGTGTCCGTTGGAAGCTATGCATAGGTAGGCTCCCATGTCCATTCTGCTCACTTTGCTGAGTCGTAGTACTTCCCCCTCGTACTCTAACACTGAAGGAGAGAGGGCAAGTAAGGAGGAGGGTAGCATTTGGTACTCAACACTGAGGGGAAAGAATGAGAGGTTTTTGAGTACGGGGTGTTTCTCGCACTCCGATACTATGGGTGAGTTGAGGGGAATGAACATTGCCCCAAGTATATATTAACTACAGTAATATCGACGAAAAATTCTGTATCATAGGCAAGGACATCACGTAAGTGGATCAAGGCTCATTCTTCTTGAAAATAAAAACAAGGAAACACAAACACATTGAATATTGCTACGACAGTGCGGCACATCAGTGAATAAGTCAACAACAGTGTGTCGGCACAGATGGCATTGTGCATGATCAGCAACAGCCTGACTGGTCAGAGAACGGGCTACGATTAGCTGAGGAACGATCAAGCCTCCACCACGCCTCGCTCTAAGATTTATATATATATATTATATATATATATATATATATATATATATATTATATATATATATATATTTATATATATATATATTGCTTGAGCATTTTTCTCTACTGTGAACAACGCAAACGAAACAAGTGTAATATGTAATTTGATTTTTAATATATTTTGATTTCAAAATAACTTAAGAGCGCGTCATTACTTGAGAGTGAACGCTGGATGTGATCAAAATAGCTCGGAAATATATTCTTTGATCGTAAATTCACTCGGAAAGTCCAGCAAAACATGACCTCAATACAGCGGAGACTCGCTATAGCGTCCAGCAACGACTCCGCTACAAGGCTCTCTTGGATTCAGATGGCGTACTGCCAGCAGGATTGAAGAAAAGACACATCGCAGAACAAGCTTTTATTGAGACAACGTTTTGCTCTGTGTAGAGCTTTATGAAGTCATGATAATGATCTGTATACAGAGCGAAACGTTTTCCCGATGATAGTTCAGCACGGTGTAACATTTCTTCACAAGACTTTCGTCATCTCAGTGTAGCGAAGCCTGCGTCCTGTTATAAGATAATCTGTTACGTAACAAGACTCGTCACTGATCCCATCTCGTATCGTTATTGTATTCCTCTATCCACTGCTACTGACTTCTTGTCCCTATATATTTTCTTGTATGTCTTGCTCCCTGTCTCTGTCCCGTGTACCCTATTCCATGCTCCCTATTTCCTGTCCTTATTCTTCATCCCCTGCTTCTTATTCCTTATTTCTTATGATCTGCTCTTTATCTTTTATTCCATGTTCTCTGTTTTCTGCTGAGCATGTCCTATTTCCTATCTGCTGCCTCTATCCCCCTGTTCTCTATGCATTGCTCCTCATTATTTATCCCTTGTTTCCTTTTCTGTTTCCATGTTATGCTCCCTTTCCCTTGCTCCAATCCTCTGCTTCTAATTTTTGTTTCCTATCCCCTTCTCCCTATCTCCCAGCCCCTCTCGCATCCTCTCCTTCCCCTCTTCGTGCCACTGTGATGCGAAATCGAGAAAAAAGGTGCGATATACGGGGTGAGAAATGTGTTCTGGAAATCCTTTTGCCTCCTTGGTCGACGATTTATGCTTCCCTCTGTGCCATATGGTGGTACTCTCAGTGTGTTGAAGCAACACAAACCTCACATCAACACTTCTGTCACTCTCTTCCTTGAAGACAAACCCGGCGAAGCTCCACACCAAGTCATGATCGTGAAAAATCTTGCCACGTTCCTCCCAATAGTACAGCAAGGTTAGGAAATAAACAATGCTCATCCATCTGGCAACATGAGGGAGAAAAGGGGGGTAAAATTGCCGTCTTTTGGGTCAGTCATTTGTTACTGCGGAGGCTGTTATTTTCCCTTCATTGTTATGGCGTTGATTTGGGAATGACGTTATTTATTTTTCAAGCACTGGGTATATATTTTCCAAGTGCTCAACAGATGTACGCTTCCACAGACTTGACGCTCAGCTAAACTTATCATTTATCTGCTGACACGAGAGATGTGTGTGGTGATAGTTAGGTTGTGCGGTTAAAGAAGACTTCCTTCAAGTTATTAACCTCAGAGTGTTGCTAACCCAGAATAAACCAAGATTTTTTTTCCTCGAATTATTAAGTCCAGATGGTCACTAACACAGGATAAACCAGGTCAAGCAGTGTTGGTTATTTCCATTGGGGACTTCCGCTCCTCTTCCCTATTATGCGACCCACAACAGCCGACTAACTCCTAGAGATCACTGCTGGGTAAACAGGGTCAGTAGATGTTAGGAAACTTGCTAACCTCTACCTTGTAGTGATGTATCAAAAACTCTGGTTTAGAAAGACACGTAAGCAAACACTATAACATATTTATTAGAAACCGTTTCGGTCCTGGAACCTTGATCAAGGTTCCAGGACCGAAACGGTTTCTAATAAATATGTTATAGTGTTTGCTTACGTGTCTTTCTAAACCAACTTGTCGGTATTTATTACCAAGGTTTATACCATCAAAAACTCTTCCTTATGATGCATTAATCTTTTTTGGGATGTACTAACGTCTCGTCCTATGTGACTGATGTATCAAGGGCTGTGTTGTGATGTATCAGTACATTTGATGGGAAGCTTTTGTTCTGTACTGTGTATCAATATCTGCTACTTAGTGACATTAATTTGTGATTTAGATTAATTTGATAGAATGACCAACAGTAAACACTTAGAAATAGTTCATTCAGTCTAGCTAAAGGCATAATTAACTTAGAAACAATGGTTACCTCTATTTTAACTCTTTATATATATATATATATGTGTGTGTGTGTGTGTGTGTGTGTGTGTGTGTGTGTGTGTGTGTGTGTGTGTGTGTGTGTGTGTGTGTGTGTGTGTAGCATTGAAAATTGGGTTGGCAAACGTTTTGTTAGTGGGATGAATTTTAAAGGACCTGCCTAGTATGGGCCAACAGGCCTCCTGCAGTGCTCCTCATTTCTTATGTTCTTATGTGTGTGTGTGTGTGTGTGTGTGTGTGTGTGTGTGTGTGTGTGTGTGTGTGTGTGCGTGCGCTCGCGTGCTCGCAGTATAACTGCAATAAAAAATAGTACTCGAAAAATCTAAAAAGGTAATCCAAATGACCTATAACGAGCAGTTGGGTGGAAACACCTCACTCTTCCATCACCATCCAGTCACTCACACACCAACAAATTAGAGGACTCTCCGCACAAACCACTATCATCTTGAATTTCCTTTTTTTTAAAAAACCTTAAGCGCACGAGTGATGGCTGTGAGGTGGAGTTATAAGCCCAGAGGGACACTTGATTGCTGGGGAAATAGAAGATGATGCTATTTGAGGTGGGCTGGGAGCAGGAGCCTTACAATACCTGCACTCACACTCACACGCACACACACACACACACACACACACACACACACACACACACACACACACACACACACACACACACACACACATAAGGCGGGGCCAGGAGCTGAGTCTCGACCCCTGCAACCACAATTAGGTGAGTACACACACACACACACGCACACCACACACACACACACACACACACACACACACACACACACACACACACACACACACACACACACACACACACACAGGGGACACAGTTGGAAGCTGAAGACACAGATGAATCACAGGGATGTTAGGAAGTATTTCTTCAGCCACAGAGTAGTCAGTAAGTGGAATAGTTTGGGAAGCGATGTAGTGGAGGCAGGATCCATACATAGCTTTAAGCAGAGGTATGATAAAGCTCACGGCTCAGGGAGAGTGACCTAGTAGCGATCAGTGAAGAGGCGGGGCCAGGAGCTCGGACTCGACCCCCGCAACCTCAACTAGGTGAGTACACACACACACACACACACACACACACACACACACACACACACACACACACACACACACACACACTGGTAACTAGCGCACACAGTACGTAGAACCGCAGAGAGAACAGAAAATAAGGGAATTTAATACAGAAGGATATGTAAGAACCCAGCAGAATGATACTAGAACATAACAGAAAGAAGTGAAAGATGGTGGCAATAACTGGGTCTTGTAGTCGGAGTGCAGATGGAAATGAAAGAGGATTTTGGTGTGCAGTTAAAGTTAAATTCTCTCTGATAGGAAATGGATAAATTTTCAAGATGCTGCTTGAAGAAAGCAGAGAAGTTAAGTGAGGGATGAGTGTGGACTTCCCACTCTTATTTTGTAATAATGTTGGTAGAATTACCGACAATATGTTAAGTAAAACGACACAAGTGCAACGAATGCGAAATGTTATTGTGGCAACGTTTCGCTCTCCTGGAGAGCGAAACGTTGCCGCAATAACATGTTGCATTAGTTGCGTTTGTGTCCTTTTACCTAACACTCTCATTCTATAATGTAATTTTAAAAACGTCAAGTTTTCAGTACCTTTTTTTTTTTAACATAAGGTTAGGCTAGAGTAGATTGCGTTAGGTTAGATTAGATAAGCACAATAGAAAAACAGTTCTCGATACTTCAGGTTACAAGGTTGTCGAGGAAAATATGAATGTTCAAATTGGTACTTTTGTCTTTTAGTTCGAGAATGAGCCGGTGTGGAAGAGCAAGACAGTTTGAGAGAACCGACAGGGTAAGTAGGAGAGGAAGACCACTCATGGTTTTTGGCCTCATGGAAGTTGAAATTTTAAATAGGAGAGATGGGTAAATGAGTTGGAGTTAGAGGTGTTCTGAGACTTAGGAGTATGATGGGTCTTGGGTATGTGATGGGACCTGGAGATGTGGTGAGACTTAGACATGTGGTGGGACTTGAAAATGTGGTTGAGGTTGAGGGTGTGGTGAAACTTAGGGATGTGGTGGGTCTTGGGGATGTGGAAGGGCTTGATGATGGGAGTCTGCTAATAAATGTGGCAAAGATTTAAAGTTTAAATGGATTTACAGATGTGAGAGTTGATTCTTTTGGAATACTTTGGGAGGGATCTTTTGAGTTAATGATAGTAGATAGGTTGCTTCCTGAAGGTAAATGTAGCTGTGTTGGTTCACTATTTAGTTACATTATGTTGGTGTATCTCAGGTTTGGGTGCAGAAGCCACCGATATTTGATTGATATGGAT